AGAAAGAGGGGGGGCAGGAGTGAGGGTGGGGGGGCAGGAGTGAGGGTGGGGGGGGCAGACTGGCTTTGCTGTTAAAGTATGTCCTTGTCATTAGCTGAGTATTAGCAACAGCCACAGTCAGTGAGCAGCAGCTAATGCTCTACTCATTTCCTGAACTTAATCCTCAAACACACACACACACACACACACACACACACACACACACATTAAAGGTGAATCATTTCATGTCATTTGTTCTGGACATTCTTTCATAAGAATCAGAAGAACTTTTTTTTATATTTTGGCTCAAAGACTGTTTGTGTGTGTTTATGTGTGTGTGTGTGTGTGTGTGTGTGCGTGCGCTCACACATTATCATCACATCGTATTAGTGGAGTGTTTGTTTTTTTTCCTGCTCTGTTGTGAAATGTGAAGAAAACAAACAAAGAGTCTGAAAATCAATTATTTCCATTAAGTCAGAGTTCAGTTCAGTCTCGTTTGGCCTGGAGTCACAGCAGTCCGACTGTTGTCACCGCCGCCGTCACCGCCGCTCAGCTCTGAGCACACAGTGACACAACACACACACACACTCACCATGATGACCTCACTCCTCACCAGGACACTTCATCTTCATCCATATTCTGACTTTTAATCCTGACTCCAGAAGACACACACACACACACACACAATAGAGGCAACGACTTGTACTGTTTGTGTTGTGTGTTAGTGATGAAATTAAAAATTAAAGGACCAGTTCATGGAAACATGGACTGAAAATACACACTGCACAGAAATGTTTTTTTAGGGTTAGGAAAGAACACACCAAGATTTCAACAAGTGTGTGTGTGTGTGTGTGTGTGTGCTGCCCCTACATTAACAGCAGCTCAGATTATTGAACCTTCATCGTTGAAGGGCTCTCATACAGAAACAGAGGAAAGAAACAGTTTCCCCAGGAACACGTGCACAGCTGTCTGTGCACGTGCACGTGCACGTGCTGCCAGCACATCTGCTCCGTCTGACACCACTTCACCAGGACTAATTAGCACCAAAGCACGGAAATTAGCATAATTATGCAAACAAGGCTGCACTGAAGGCCTGAGACAAGAGGGTGTGGGGGGGGCAACAAGGAGGGGTCCATTACAACAGACAATAGGAATACTTGGACACAAATTAGGCAACAGTCGGAAACATGGTCCACACAAGTACAAAACAAAGAAACACACACACACACACATACACACACTGTCATTAATTTCTTGTCCATGAATGGCCTTTTCCTCATTACCACCAAAGTCAGGCTCCCGGGCCAAACGTGAACGTGGAGAGAGACCTTTGATTATCTGTGGTACATGGAGTTCACAGTCTGGAGTGGAGGAGACAAGGAGAGGAGGAGACAAGGAGAGGAGGAGCCAGGCAGAGGAGGAGCCAGGCAGGGGAGGGAGGGGGGGGGATCCTTGTCCGCCATATCAACCCAACAAGTCCTCTTAGCAAAAGCCCTTAAAAGTCAACAAGCTCCACCTTAAACCCTCTCAAAACACACACACACACGCACGCACACACACACACACACACACACACCTCCTCAGGTGCATTCTTAGTCAAACCCGGCCCAAGGGTCTGTATTGTGTTCTCAAATCCTAAATCCTGGCAGGAAACAAGAACCTCTACAGCCCAAACAACACCTGCACAAAGCTGCCCAACAATTACAGGCTGAACAGCCAGGAAGGTTGAAAGTTCACAGTTCAAATGGTTCAGACTGATCCCACCCCCGGAGAGTCGGACAAAGACTTACAAACCTGGCTGGAATTCCACAAGTTCATCATGGCCACCAGAGGGCGTGATGGGTACCAGATACTGTTGCTGGGTCCCAGCGTGTGGCAGCAAATGATTTATTGAACAGTAACTATAAAGTCAGAGAGAGAGAGGGAGAACCCGGAGGAACCCACCTGCTGGTCCACTTCACTCAGAGTCACATGACTCAGTCTCCGGCTTAGCTAGCATCACCTTCACTACAAACACACTGTTCACACACACAAGCAGTCTGTTGGGGAGTGTATAATTGTAAGTAGTAGGTCTCCTGCTGGGGTGGAGGGAGTGGAGGGGGGGAGAGGGGGGGGAGAAGTCCACACATTTTGCAGGCAGAGATAATCCAGGCCAGACTTTTTAGCCTGTTATTTAGGAGGACAAGAGAGCAGAGGATTTGGGCTTGTCCACACCTCAGGGGTGAGGGATTACAGGGTAGCAGGAAAGGGAAGGGTGGAGGAGTGGGTGAG